GCATAGTTTACCTCTTTTCCGCATTAGTTCATTTTTAATTTTTTTAAATGGTTTCTTTTTTTAAGATTTTATTTATTTGTCAGAGAGAGAAAGAGAGAGCACAAGCAGGGGAGCAGCAGGGTGAGGGAGAAGCAGGCCCCCACTGAACAGAGAGCCCAATGTGGGGCTCCATCCCAGGACCCTGGGATCATGACCTGAGCCGAAGGCAGACGCTTAACCGACTGAGCCACCCAGGTGCCCCTCATTTTTATTTTTAACTCAAACATTTTTCATGAAAGTATACATGTAAGTCTCCCTCCACCTGATCCTTTATAGATCAGTTCTCCCCAAAGGATACTACTGTTAACCAGTTTTTTGAACTCTTTAAAAATATTCTTTGTGTATGTATATATTCTAGGTATATGTATATATGCACACATACTTCCCTGCTTTTTTTTATACACTCAGTTCTGTGCCTTGTTTTTATCATTTATAAGTATCTTGGAGGTTATTCCACATCGGCACATATAGATCTTTAAGCCAGTCTGTTCAGCATATTCTTTTACTATGAACAAATCACTAAGCGGGAAGCCAACGTTTTCAAAGGTTGTTTGGCAAGCATGGGATCCAAACAAAGGGAGTTAGTAGATCTTTAGAACAGGAGTCCTATCAGCTAGTATAGCTTGAGGAAATCTCACCCACCATAAAAATATTCTTACCAAAGAACCAGTAATGTTCAAGTTAGCTAAGCTAAGATTCTCTTTCCCTTGGACAAGAATTTGAGTGGACACAGGAGATGTTTGCCTCTGTGATTATTTACTTTTTCATTCATTTACTTTTTGCTTCTATGATAAACCAGTCCCTCTTTTGATACATAGTTCTTTCTTTAGATATATTAATACACTGAGTTTAGTAACTATCATACCTTACAGACTAGAGAGCCAGGTGGTCTCTTCAGGGCTTCAAGTCTCATATCTCTATTTTAGTTAATTATTTTGTTTGATAGCTCAGTTTTCAGGTATTTTTGAGTCTTGGAATGGTGAATAGATTATATTACTAACATCATTCCCTTCTTTCTTCCAATTCCCTACTATATGTAAACATTGCCTTTCCTATTGTGCTTTTTAAATACATTCAGTTATTCTTCCCAGTAGCCATTAACCATTCCCAGTGACTCCTTTTATTGGTGAGAATTAGTTTGACCTATCTCTGGCATATTTGGCATTAATAATAAGTAGGTCTGTTATTTCAGCCAACAAGTTCTGTATTTTGCGTTTTGAGATTCTTTTTTTTTTTTTTAAGATTTTTTTTAAATTTGGGGAGCCTGGGTGGCTCAGTCGTTATGTGTCTGCCTTCAGCTCAGGTCGTGATCACAGGGTCCTGGGATCAAGTGCCTCATCGTGCTCCCTGCTCAGCAGGAAGCCTGCTTCTCCTTCTCCCACTCCCCCTGCTTGTGTTCCCTCTCCCACTCTGTCTCTGTGTCAAATAAATAAATAAAATCTGTTAAAAAATTTTTTTTAATTTATTTATTTGAGAGAGGGAGCACGAGCAGGGGGAGGGGCAGAGGAGAGAATTATTTTATCTTTCACATAAATCAAAGAATGTAATCTTTTAATTTGATCTTTTCTTAAATTCATGATAAAAGAGGGTGATGATTTTTAAAAAAAAACAATATTTGCCATAGTAAAAAAAAGGATAATTTAGTTGTCATACTTTCCCAGGAACAAATGGTAAGATTTAATACTAAAACAGCAAATATTTGTTATTTAATCACAGCAGAATCAGGATTTTCACTTTAAAGCATTAATAAAATAATGTTCACTCTAAAAAATAGGTTGAATGGGGTATCCAGACTTTTATTCATCCTGTGCTATCATCTTGACTGCCTTTTTGTTCCAGTTACCATTATCAGCTGTAGTAACTTACTTCCGTTAAGGCAGTCATCTCCCTGCCTTAGATAAAAATTTTTCCAAGCTCAAGAAATAAAAAATAACTTTTTTAAAAAAGATTTATTTTAGAGAGAGAGCCCTCACACAAGCAGGAAGAGGGGGAGAGGGAGAGAAACTCAAGCAGACTCCCCACTGAGCTGGGAGCACGATGCCAGGCTTGATCCCACAACCCTGAGATCATGACCTGAGCCAAGACCAGGAGTCCAGCCATTTAACTGCCTGAACCACCCAGGCGTCCCTAAAAATAACTTCTCCTGGATTAACAGTCTCTAATGAGAACACCAGACTTGTCTCTAATTAAGTTAAGAGCCATTTGGTTGTAAATAAGACCTTCAGTACAGGTAAAACTACTAGTTTGTTGATCCTTTCAGATAAAAACACATTTCCATAGACACTGAAATGATCCTTTATTTAGTGGGACTAATTGTTTTAGCCATTAGTTTTTGGTGCTATTTTCTCTTCTTACTACAAGGTACAAAAAGAGACAATATATGTTTATTAGGCTAAGAAGTCTTGAAAAAAGCAAGCAAATTTAAGCAAAGAGAAACTGTAAAATAAATCATATTTGGGGACACCTGAGTGGCTTAGTTGGTTAAGTGTCTGACTCTTGATTTTGGCTTAGGTCATGATCTCAGGGTTTTGAGACTGAACCCCACGTTGAGCCCCATGCAGGGTGTGGATCCTGCTTAAGATTCTCTCTCTCCCTCTGACCCCCCCACCGTGATGCCACTTCTGCTCTCTCTCTGTCTCTTAAAAAAAAATAAAAAATAGGGGAGTCTGGGTGGCTCAGTCGATAAGCGTCTGCCTTCAGCTCAGGTCATGATCCCAGCGTCTTGGGTTCGAGCCCCACATCAGGCTCCCTGCTCTGCGGGAAGCCTGTTTCTCCCTCTCCCATTCCCCCTGCTTGTGTTTCCTCTCTCACTGTGTGTCTCTCTGTCAAATAAATAAATAAAATCTTTAAATAAATAAATAAAATGTTATAAGGAAAGTGTATAAAAGACAATTCTATAATATATAGTAGTTACCTTGATTTTATATTAAAATAATTGGGGGTCATTGAACCCCAGTGACAGTATTTAGCAACTTTTGTTTTGATCAATCAATAAGTAAGGAAAATCACATGGATTTGTTTTAGAGGTATTTTAAGTGTAATTTTAGGAAATGATACTTTTATGGAAAGAAGGATAAGTTAATAGTTATACCAAGTGTCTGGTGTTATTCTCTATTTATTTTAATAGTTTCATTTTAGAATTATTTGGAAAATAGTGTTGATAATATTTCAGTCCTTCTGGTAATGTCTTACTATATACTAGATTAGGGTTATATGATTTGCTGGGTTCCTAAAAGTAATTTTTATTACATCTATGAACAGGATTCTTTTCTACAATATATTTTTCTGATTTTATAATGGAAAAATATACCTGGCATGGAACAGGTGAATGATTATTAGTTGAAAAAGCTATGAGTAAATGTAGCTAAAAACAGTATCTCTGTTAAAGTGACATACCAGTATTGCTTAATTTTGTTTTTTTTTCTAGTGTAATTGTGAAACTCATACTGACTAAAACTACAAATCAGTGTTCTGATGTGGTCTTTTTTCCTTCCACATTTAAGTTAAGAGGGATTGTTAGCATTTTGCTTCATGAGATCAGAATTGTAACAACCATAAAATGTAGTTACAGGACCTTTTTCATTTCAGTTATATTTGTGAAAAAATATAAAAGCCAAATAATTTTAAAATTCCAAACTTTCTACTGAGCCTTATGAGTAACAACAAAGAACTTGAATAAGCTTTTAGTTTTTCCTGTGTCTATCTTAAATTTAAACTATAAAATAAAAGAAGTCCATGATTAATAAACCTTAGGATTCTCTTAGTGCTCTAAATGTTGTTTTTTTCCACTCTAAAAATAGTCCATGTTCATTATCATTTTGAAAATTTGTGTTGATAGAAAGAAGGAAGCCACAGTATCCAGAGATAACCATCATTAGCACTTGGTATATTCTTTCCAGACACATTTTTTACATAGTATTGATCAGACCTTCTGTACAATTTTTTGTCTTGCTTTTTTTCCTTTAACATTCTGTGTTATAAACTCTGTTAACACTTTAAGGACTGCTTGGTGCTTTGATTTGGGTTACTTTAATGTACTTAACTTTAAAAAATTATTTTAAAAAGTATATTCCGAACAAATACATACACTCCTTTAAAGGGTACTTAGATTAGGGCGCCTGGGTGGCTCAGTTGGTTAAGCGACTGCCTTCGGCTCAGGTCATGATCCTGGAGTCCCGGGATCGAGTCCCACATCGGGCTTCCTGCTCAGCAGGGAGTCTGCTTCTCCTTCTGACCCTCTTCCCTCTCGTGCTCTCTGGCTCTCATTCTCTCTCTCTCAAATAAATAAATAAAAAATCTTTAAAAAAAAAAAAAAAAAAGGGTACTTAGATTATACTATGAATTAGTTTTTTTAGAACTAGCAATATGGGGTGCTTGGGTGGCTCAGTCGGTAAGTGTCTGACTTCAGTTCAGATCATGATCCCGGGGTCTTGGGGTCAAGCCCCTGCATTGGGCTCCCCGCTCAGCAGGAGTCTGCTTGTCCCTCCCCCTCTGCCCGTCCTCCTGCTCTTGCTCTCTTTCTCTTAAATAAATAAATAAAATGTTAAAAAAAAAAAAAACTAGCAATCTGATGAAAAATCACTATATTCCTACATTATCTTACCTTAGTATGGCTATACATATCTGAATTACTGCAAAACTGCATTTAAGTCATCCTTACTATTCCCAGGATTCCAGTTGAGTTAGGTAGGATCTTTGGACTGCTTTACAATTTTTAGGGCAAAACTCAAAGAAAAAAAATACCCATAGAAATTTTCTGTGGAAAATGATGTCACTAAATCCCTTGCAAATGCTCTCAAAGTCATTGGCAGCCTGTACTATTTGGCACATGCTCAGAGAATAAACTTAACTGTTTACTTTATAATAATGTTCTACTTTCTTTATGTTAATGGTATGTTTTTAGAGTTTTCAACAATCTTGAGTATTTTATCATTTATACATTCTTATAATAATTGTTTTAGGTCAACTGGCTATTCTGAGGTGATAGTTGTCGTTGGAGGCTGTGAACGGGTTGGAGGATTTAATCTTCCATACACTGAGTGCTATGATCCTGTGACAGGAGAATGGAAGTCTTTGGCTAAGCTTCCAGAATTTACCAAATCAGAGTATGCAGTCTGTGCTCTAAGGAATGACATTCTTGTTTCAGGTAATTAGAGAATTATTACAGTAGCTACTTTTAATTTGAACACAGCTTGGCTGTTTTAAACAATAGTAGTGTCTCAGAAGAAAATATGAAAGTGAATATACCCACTTTCAGCAGAAAGTATTTGTTATACAACAAATAAAACTGAGAATGACTTTTTGCTCTTAAAAGCAGGCTCAAGATGATCCAGAATGATTTATAAAAGATCCACCAGAAAAATGCCTTTAATTGTCAAATTTTAAATGCTCTCAAGTGCATATAGGATATGGTATAATTTTTAAAACTTTTACCTGTTAGCTTTGTTTTAAGGAACACAGTGAAGTATGCAAAGTGCAAATTACTCATAGAATTAATTAAGCATCTCTGATCCACCCAGGTTTTCTGAAATTCTCCCCAAAGTTTATAAAATAGGATTTTCCTTAAAATTCTTAATTTGAACTTCTTTTATGTGATGTTACATCTAAAATCTGAGACAATAAAATGACAGACTTATACAAAGTATAACTACATTATCAATGGTTTTGAGTCTGTTATTTGGTTAATAATTTTACCAGCTTTGGAGTTACGCTATTACTACATGTTGAACAATATAACAACACATACTTTATTTTGTACAATGGTATGCTTTTTGAAAAAATGGGTGATTTTTAAAAATCTTTTTAAAATAATTCTGTTGTTTGGGTGCTTCTGATGTCTCATTCAAATCAATAGTCTTATACATTTGTAAAATTCATATTCTGCATTTTATTATTTGGGGCCTATAATTCTCAAGATCACAGTTGGCAAAGTTTAAATCTGCTCTGTAGAACTGTTTCCATTAAGCTTTAAGAGGGTCCTTGTTTCATTTATTGAACTGAATTCACAAATTCTTGGGGTGAATAATTCCCATGTTATATCTATGCCTTAAGCATAAATCCCTTGGTGATACACATATTATTGTGTGTACATTGTTTTGCATTTAAAGGTGGAAGAATCAATGGCCGTGATGTGTGGATTTATAACTCACAGCTAAATATTTGGATCAGAGTTGCTTCTCTAAATAAAGGCAGATGGCGTCACAAAATGGCTGTCCTCCTTGGTAAAGTAAGAGAAACCACTTTTTATTACTATTGCTGGCACATTTCCAAAATAAATACCACAGTTGAATCCTTCACCTCACTCTCTGGGTATTTTGGATTCAAATTGTATTTCCTTCTATTTCTAACCTCAATAGATAAACTGAAGGTATAAACAATTTGACACTGTACTTTTGAATGGATACTTTGTTCTCCCAATTTGGAATTTGTGGCAGTGCAGCACATTTCTCTTTTCATGCTCCATTGGAGTCTGAATGCCTAAGAAGCATTGGAAAATAAAGGAGTTACATCAAGTACAAAAACAGGCCAATGTCTAATCCAAGCAATCGTTTTCCCTTTATTGACTTTGGCAATCAGGCAGAGATATATTTATCTAGACTGATGTTATTTTTTTTCTTTATGCAAGTTAGGGACAAAACAAATTTAAAATAGTGTTAAAATAAATTCACCAATGTATTTTAAAGAATATTGATTATTGACTGCAGCTAATAAATATTTAAAAATATATAATTTGGGGGGCGCCTGAGTGGCTCAGTTGGTTAAGCATCCGACTCTTCATCTCAGCTCAAGTCTTCATCCTCAGGGTTCAAGCCCCGTGTTGGGCTCCATGCTGGTTGTGGAGCCTACTTTAAAAAAATAAGTAAATAAATGTATGTTGGTTCTGAACCATTCTCTGTCCTTGGGAACCTGAGAAACACTTGTGGACTAGTGGTTTTCAAACTTTTTAAAAGCAGCCACACCTTCTTTTTTAAAGTTAAAAAAGTTAAATCTAATATAAAAAGCCATTACATAGAACAGATAAAAATACAGCAGTATGCCAAGGGCTCTTTAGCTTTTCTTTGCCTCCATCTCTCTTAGCTCCTTCAAAGCTACCATAAATTAATGAGCAGTCTGAATAAAAGCAGCATACTTGCTTGCACATGTATTTCTGACTGGTTCCCTGATACTCCCTTCTAAAAAGATTGTTGCCTCTTGGGCCCTCGCGGAGACATTTTAGAGCAACCAATGAGAAAACAGAACTGCTCTAATAGAAACAGAGATGGTGCAGGAACCCTTCCCAATCAGCCTCTCATCAGCCCTTGTCTGTTTCCCCATAGAGGCTTCTTGAAATTTCTATACCACAGAATATTAGAGTTTCTCAAAGCACAGTTTTGAAAGCTACTGTTAATTCCTAAGGATATTGATCTATTGTGCTGCTGCTGTCGACAAGGTCAATGAAATAATGAGGACCTTGGGATAGATGTAATGGAAATAAAATACTAATTCTAAAAAAAAAATTAAAATAAAATACTAATTCTATTTCGATATTTTCCAAAATCACTAGTTTGTCAGTAATTACTATGTTATATATAGTTTTGGTAGCCATGCTTCAAGAATGATAAAATATTACTGAAAGGGACAGCTAAAATATTCAAGGGGTTGGAAAGAGAAGAGAGCTGACTTAAAAAAATTGTAATTATTTAGCCTGGAAGTACAAAGGCAAATGCATATGACTTATGTCTCAAATATCATGTATGGATTGGTGAACACAAATTTATTTGACAAATGTTAGTATACTTGGCTTGAAGTTACTTAAAACTTAGAAGCAGTAAATCAAGACATGAAAGGAATCTTTCCTACCTTACATAGCAAGTACTCACATCATGGAAACTGTTACCCTAAAAAAATTACAATATAAACTGAATTCAAACCTATAAAAGTATTTAAATTTATAAATGGTCTCTATTTAAAAAACCTGGGTAAGATGATTTGGAATAGAGAATCTGAGAGTAGGAAGGAATCGTAGAGAAAATTTCGTGTAACTTTTTCAATTTATAAAGAAACCTAATTCAAAGAGATCAGTCACTTGCCCAAGGTTACACAGAAAGTGATAAAGCTGGGGCAAAGCAAAGTTCAGGATTTTCTTAATCTAGAGTCCTTTCATCTTGGTGCCGGCAACATATATTTTTAATTTATGCATGCAGGAGAATGGTAAAAAGTTTAATCCTCAAAATTATGTGATAGGTACTATTACTGTGTACATTTTTATTGAGGAAACAAAGACTGACTCTCAGAGGGTAAGTAAACTGCCCGAGGTTTACATTTCATAGCAATGCTAAATATTGAACCCTGCCTCTCCTGACTTCGAAGCCATGCCCTTAATTGCTACATTGTGTCACAGTTTCCATACACTCTTCCAGCTGGGTGACCTTGAGTAAGTTACTTAACCGCTCTGAACTTCATAGTGTTGGGAGAACAAACCCACCAAGAGATCATTTTAACATAATATGAGAAGTGCAACATTGAAATACAAAATAGCATTGGCTGCTCTAGAAATTTGGAGGAGTACAGAAAGATAAATTGTGGACAGACTTGAATATGAAGTTTGGCCTTGACCACTTAGGCATCTGTCGTTGAACTATTAAGAAGAGTTGATGAAGTATTTTAGGAAGATGAATCTGTGGTTGAGGGAGCACAAGAGTGGAGACCAGGAGATTAATTGAGAAGTCTAAAATGGTATGGATCCTGAAGTAGGATAGTGGCAATGGGAAACAAAAGGAAGGGACAGATGTGAGATGCCATGAAAGAAGACTCAGTGGGACTTAATGGTTACTTAGATATGGAGGGAAGAATTGATAATGACTGTCGATTAAAGGAATTGTGGATGTTAAACTGAAAAACGTCTTTTAAGTTAAAAGTTTCTTGTGTGTCTCATGATTCTTAACGGGTTATCGGCATATAGGTCATTTAATAAATGGCTTGTTGATTAGTTCAGCTGTCACATAAAGATACTAATTTGCCTTCCTCATATTTGTGGAAGCCCTTTGAAATATACAGTATAGAGTTCATTATGTGTCAGGTACTTTGCTAATAAGCACAGTAGATACTAAAAGGAACAACAAAATAGGCACTGCCCTCAGTGATCTTACAGTCTAGTATTCCTTATCTAATATTTTAGTTTTATAGCTTTATTACTTCATAATAGTCAAACATTTTCATCATCCATGAGTGTGAGCATTAAAGAATCATGTAATTCTCAGTGTAAGCAGTATCATTCTTAAAGGTGTGAAGATTCGTTCTTGGGGGTGAAAAAATTGTACTCTTTCATATATAAAACACACAGATATACATACAGTACATAAACAGATACACAGTATATCTGTGGTATTAAAACTTCATTGGAGGGTGCTATTATGAAAAAAAATGTCTAAAAAGTCTCCTTGGTGGTGAGAGGGTGCTAATAAAAGTCTCTAAAACTAAGCTAAATTTATTGCAATTATAGTTATCAAGGGCTTTTTAAAGAGGACAGATCCCTTAACTCCTTAGCCAACTAGTTAAAAATTCAGACTTTTGACAATTAGGATTTTTCCATGTATTTTGCATATAGGTATATGTTGTTGGAGGCTATGATGGACAAAACAGACTTAGCAGCGTAGAATGTTATGATTCCTTTTCAAATCGATGGACTGAAGTTGCTCCCCTTAAGGAAGCAGTGAGTTCTCCTGCCGTGACTAGCTGTGTAGGCAAATTGTTTGTGATTGGTGGAGGACCTGATGATAATACTTGTTCTGATAAGGTAAGCCATGTTCTCTTATAAAAATTACCAATGATGTATATGGGAAGAAGAATACACAAAGCTTATCAAATAGATAGCAAGGTCCCTTAGTGTGAGGGAACCTTTTAAAAATTGTCTAGTACTTAATACTTTGGGGGGAAAACACTGAGTTTCAAGTTACTGAAGTGAACTCCTAATATATCTAACAATTTCTGTAAAAAGCGTTATCTAATCTTTTTTAAATGAAACTAATCTCAGCATTGGAATATTATACTAAATAAATTGTTTTAAACCTTTTACTGCTATAGTCTATAGAATCAAAAAATTACTGACAACACAGTTGGGAAGTGAATTAGCAGAGGGTAAGATACAGTAACTACACTGCTTCCAAGTGGGTCATCTTCTGCATACTTTAAAAGTATTTTTTAGAACAAAAAAGAGGAAAGGAAACCTCTGTAATGTCAATAGAGGGCAGCTCAAAGTTGCTACAGTTCATCGAATTCCTGGGGCAAAACATTTCCTTCCTGACATCGCAGAAAATACTGTTATGCTGGAATTGTCTGATGCCTAACCTGTTTAGCAATTGTTAACTGAATTTTGTCAATCAATTATTTTTTTAAAGATTTTATTTATTTGAGAGAGAGAGAGAGAGAGAGAACATAGGGAGGAGCATAGGGAGAGGTATAAGCAGATTCTGCGCTGAGCACAGAGCCTGATGTGGGGCTCCATCTTACAACCCTGAGATCATGACCTGAGCTGAAACCAAGAGTTAGACACCTAACCGAATGAGCCACCCAGGTGCCCAATCAATTATTTAATTAAACTTTAATGTGGTCAAATGTTACATTTTTAGAATTCAGAATTTGTGATAATTCAAAGTATACTAAATTGAAGTTTACTTGTGTTCTTTTGAAGAAAGGACTTCCTAAAAGCATAGAGAAATTGTATTCAGATTGAGGTATTGTTATCCTATTTGACACAATTTTTTAAAAATCTAGACTGTTGGGGCATCTGGGTGGTTCAGTCGGTTGAGTGTCCGACTCTTGATTTCAGCTCAGGTCATGATCTCAGGGTCTTGAAATCAAGCTGCACATTGGGCTCCATGCTCAGCAGGGAGTCTGCTTGAGATTCTCTCTCTCTCCCTCTCCCTCTGTTTCTGCCTCTCCCCCCACTAATGTGCATTCTCTCCTCTCTCTCTCTAAAATAAACAAATCTTAAAAAAAAAAATCTAGACTGTTAGTTTAATGAAAGTAAGTAAAGAAAACTTATCATGGTAGTGTAGTATCCATTCATCCTGGAAACAACCTGTGTTTGTTACTCTATTCTGTTTGATAGTAATAAATTTGCATTTCTTTTGAGAATTTTATAAATCAGACATTTCCCTGTCAAGCTAACCTTTCTTAATTCTGTGAATTAATGTGAATTAATTAATGTAGTTAATGGGATTTAATTTTTAATCATGTTTCTATGTATTAGTAGACTTTTTTATTAAGTAAATTTGCATTTTTGTTTATAAATTTCAATAAAATATTTCTGTGTATTACTAGGTTCAATCTTATGATCCAGAAACCAATTCTTGGCTACTTCGTGCAGCTATCCCAATTGCCAAGAGGTGTATAACAGCCGTATCCTTAAACAACTTGATATATGTTGCTGGTGGACTGACCAAGGCAATATATTGTTATGATCCAGTTGAAGATTACTGGATGCATGTACAGAATACATTCAGCCGACAGGTAATGACATAAAACAGGTCCAAAAGAAAAATCAATCTAGGAGGGTCCAAATACGTGGCCATTATAAATGTACTGTAATTTCACTGTTAATATATTTCATGTATGCTTGAATTATTTCATAATTTTTAAAACCACATAAAGCATGTAGTATGCCTGTTTTGAACTCATTTCAGGGAATTGTTTTATTGAAATAACTTATTTTGTACCATCCCATGGTGAAGCAGCCGTTGCACTTGGGCTGGTAGTTTTTTTTCCCTTGACCACTTAGAATCTACTCCTGTCCTTATCCCTATCTCTTACATATTTTGAAAGAGAAGAAATGCTCCCAAACTGGTTTTCTTTCCTTCTGTGGTTTTAATTATAAAAGAAATGGCTGGGCTCAGGTTTCCCTCATCCATGTACACTACCTATACCCCTACTCCACCTCCACCCCCTGCCTCCCAAAAAGCCTTCTCTCAGCCTTTGATTCATGACTCTGCCCTCCCTCCAACCACCAAAATGCTTGACGGTTCTAATGCTGGAAATCTGGATCTACCTATATACTACTCTAGAGTAATACTCAGAGGTCATTACAAGTAATCTCCTCAGTCTCACCCATATTCTCTTATTTTTTCTATCCAACCCTTAAATATGAGCATTCCTTGAGTCTCTTTCCCCTACCCGCTTCCTAGTTTATTCTCTGTTCCTGAGTGGTCACATTTATTGCCCAGTACTGATGACTTCAAATCTTTATCTTCATTAAAGCCTCTCTCTTGTGCCCCAGACTCAAATTTCCAACTGCCTATTTGGTATTTTTTATGATGTCCTAAGAGTTCAAACTTAAAACAGAATTCACCTTCTTCCCCAAGCCTACTTTTTGTGTTTCCAAACAACCCTAGTGAATGGAAAAACTGTTTCTTCCTTACTAACACTCACAACACTTCTGGCACCAGATACTAGATTTATTCCAACCAATTCTCCATCTCTAGCTGAATGTCTTACAGTTCAATTCAGTTCTGACACTATCTACCTGGAGTTAGCATCAGATTCCACAAGTTGAGGGCTCAGTTCAAGACTGCCACTGCTCTAGATGCCAAACGCTAGTTCCAGCTTGTCGCCAGTACTTTTGACTGGCTATAAATTAACATTCCCTTGGGGCGCCTGGGTGGCTCAGTTGGTTAAGCGACTGCCTTCGGCTCAGGTCATGATCCTGGAGTCCCGGGATCGAGTCCCACATCGGGCTTCCTGCTCAGCAGAGAGTCTGCTTCTCCCTCTGACCCTCTTCCCTCTCGTGCTCTCTGTCTCTCATTCTCTCTCTCTCAAATAAATAAATAAATAAAATCTTTAAAAAAAAATAAAAAATAAAAAAAAAATAAAATAAATAAAGTGTAATGCATTTTTGCCAAGAAGTACTGTTCATTCAGAACTTGGCTATACTATAGAAAATGATAAAAATTTAGGAAGATAATTTTCAGCATCTATCATAATGCAGGGCATACAGTGAATATGTTTCTAACTACATGATTGAGATAAAACTAAGAATAAACAACAGGACAAACATGGCACATTTTTTCTAATTAATGAATAACACGACTTTGAAAATTTCAAAGAAAAAACATTTAGCTCAGAAGTATATTAAATCACGGGGTGCCTGGGTGGCTGTCTTTAAGCATCTCCCTTCAGCTCAGGTCATGATCCCAGGGTCATGAACCTGGGATCGAGCCCTGCATTGGTCTCCCTGCTCAGCAGGAAGCCTGCTTCTCCCTCTCTCACTCACCCTGCTTATGTTCCCTCTCTTGCTGTCTTTCTCTCTGTCGAATAAATAAAAAAATCTTTTTTTTAAAAAACTATATTAAGTCTGTTATGACAAAGAGAAATCATTGAAGTCCAAATCAAATATTCTACGTCAAATCTCTTGAAACAAAAAACACTGAGATTTCTGGGATTATCTTTTCTCCTCAGTTCATTCTTACTACCAGTACCTCTAAGTATATCTTTGTAGGGGTGCCTGGGAGGCTCAGTCGGTTAAGCGTCTGCCTTCAGCTCAGGTCATAATCCCAGGGTTCTGGGATCAAGCCCTGTGTGGGGCTTCCTGCTCAGCAGAGAGCCTGCTTCTCCCTCTCCCTCTGTTGCTCCCGCTGCTTGTACTGTCCCTCTCTCTCTCTGTCAAATAAATAAATAAATTCTTTTTAAAAATCTTTATATCTTTGTAAATGTTATTGATTGGTAATTTTTGAACTGTGTTTGCCTACCATTTAATGCTAATCAGTGAAAAAGGAAAAATCAACTGTAATTTCATATTAGACAGTTGAGTCAAACTTTTTTTATTTTTATTTTTTTTAAAGATTTTATTTATTTGACAGAGATACAGCGAGAGAGGGAACACAAGCAGGGGGAGTGGGAGAGGGAGAAGCAGGCTTCCCACCGAGCAGGGAGCCCGATGTGGGACTCGATCCCAGGATCCTGGGATCATGACCTGAGCTGAAGGCAGATGTTTAACGACTGAGCCACCCAGGCACCCCTGAGTCAAACTTTTTTTAAATGTTTAGAATATTAAGTGGCAAAAACGCTGAAAAAATGAGCTCTTTGTTTTGCAGATCTAATGGACCTAATGCAGCCTTTTTCTCTTTCTGTCCCTTACCATTTCCACGCCTCTTGACTCTGCATAATTCCTAAAAGCCACAACTTGCTATTTTAAACATATTTTGCTTTTTAACTCTTGTCAGGAACATCCTTTGAAAAATTGTGGAATTTTTTTTTAGGTCCATGATGAAGTTTTTTCAGTCCCTCTTCATTAGCCCAGGTATTTAAAATATCATTAAAGTTTAGAATAATAAATGAAAAAATCTGACTCTAAGTTGGAATTTTAACATTTAAGCATTAAGCATTGTAAAAAATAATAAGGGGAGGGTTTTTTTTTTTAATATTAGGATCATGTTTCACTCCAGTCTTGAAAAATAACATTAAAACTTCATGTACTGAGGCACCTGCCTGGCTCAGTCAGGAGAGGAAGCAACTCTTGATCTCCGGGTTGTGAATTCAAGCCTCAGGTTGGGTGTAGAGATTACTTAAATAAAATCTTAAAAATAAATAAATAAAACTTCATGAATTAAAATATTTTTCTCTCTTTTTAAGACTTTATTTGACACAGAGAGAGAGAGCATACAAGCAGAGGGAACAGCAGAGGGAGAGGGAGAAGCAGGCTCTCTGCTGAGCAGGGAGCCAGACATGGGGCTTGATCCCAGAACCCTGGGATCATGACCTGAGCTGAAGGCAGATGCTTACCGACTGAGCCACTGAGGTGCCCCAATAAATTATTTTTCTTAAGAGCTGTCATTACTCTTGAGATTCTAATAGAGTGAAATAAGTTACTATATCTGATACAAGTAATTTCCTGATCTGAAGGAATAACTGATTTCAAGATTGCTTGCTTCATTTATTTCTGAGCATTATTACCTGAAATGACATTGTTTTTTGTTTTTGTTTTTTAAGATTTTATTTATTTATTTGACAGAGAGAGACACAGCTAGAGAGGGAACACAAGCAGGGGGAGTGGGAAAGGGAGAAGCAGCCTTCCTGCGGAGCAGGGAGCCCGATGCAGGACTCGATCCCAGGACCCTGGGATCATGACCTGAGCCGAAGGCAGATGCTTAACTACTGAGCCACCCAGGCGCCCCTACCTGAAATGACTTGTAATAAGATCCTGTAATTACATAGTTTAAGAATCACCATTAAAGTGACTGTAAGGTTCAATACTATAGGCTAGGTTCTATCTGAAAACTGAGGATGATATTGTTTTTTATTGTATTCAGAACTTTTAGAATTTATAGAAAGAGCTCACTGTGTTTTAGATGAAAAATGTTGTAGTTTGGCACATAATTGGTACAATTCATGGGTGACATTCTAGATAAAAGTTTGTCGTTCATTAATGATAATGGACCAGGTTATTCTGGGTATGTGTAAACTCTAATATAGGTATTTTTAAGTACTCACGAATTCTTTTAGACCGGAAGATATTATCTTCTATTATATAAGTCTACCAAGATTTAATTTCTTCTATAAGAGCAAAACTTAGGGGCGCCTAGATGGCTCAGTCCGTTAAGCCTCTGCCTTCAGCTCAGGTCCTGATCTCAGGGTCCTGGAATCAAGCCCCACTTCAGGTTCCCTGCTCAGCCAGGAGTCTGCTTCTCCCTCTGCCTCTGCTCCCCTCCACCTGCTCATGCTTTCTCTCTTTCAAATAAATAAATAAAATCTTAAAAAAAAGCAAAACTTACATACACAGCAAATCTTGTCAAGTAAAAATGTTTATTGTACTGATTGGTAGAACCTATCTTGTTAGTTATATACAAATAGGATGATAGTAATATGTAATAACTTTCTGAATTAAAGTAATTGAAAAATTAAAGTAATGTAAATAGAATATTTGACCTACAGCATAACCAGATCTATGAAATAGGGAGACAATTTTAGTGTAATTTCTTTCTTGGAAGAATCACTCTCATCCTTGCAAGAATATTTGTTTTTTATAGTAATTATGTTATTGAGAGAAAAGAGTAAAATTCAGCTATGAATCCCATTATGTACAAAGTTAAAATATTATTTGGGGAGTTTCTGTATCCCAGCCAAGCCCCTATAACAGTGCTTTGTTAATTTGTTTATAAGTCTTTCTCTCATTCATTCATTCAACTTGTGGATAATCTCACATAATGATTAATATTCCTACTCCTTGCTCATGTAATAGCCACTTGCTGTAATAAAGGACCTCCCTGTAATAGGAGAAGCAAGCCACACTCTCTGAAAATATTTTTGTTCAACTACTGTTAAGTTAAAACCCTTCTCTCAGTCCACTATCCCCACTTCACCTCCCACATCTTGGCCCCAATCATAACATATATTTTATTTTAACATTTCATTCATGCAAAATTATCTAGAACTCACACATAGAGCAGGAGTTAGGCAAAAGGGAGCTTATTTCATGACTTCTTTGTTTGTTAAAGCATGTCTTATTTTACTTTTCAGTTTGCTACCAAATCCCTTACCTTTAAGAGTTAATTTTTTTTTTTTTTTAATGTATTTGGTTCAACAGGAAAACTGCGGTATGTCTGTGTGTAATGGTAAAATATATATCCTGGGTGGAAGACGGGAAAATGGAGAAGCCACAGACACTATTCTCTGTTATGATCCTGCAACAAGTATCATCACAGGGGTGGCTGCAATGCCCAGGCCAGTGTCCTATCACGGCTGTGTGACCATACATAGATACAATGAAAAATGCTTTAAGCTCTAAAGCCAGGATACCTCACCCAAGAAGCCACACTGATCCAAGATGAGAGGTTCTAAGAACTCCAGAGTGGGAACTTGGCATATCTCCTTTGTGCCATGTACACAAAAAAGTAAAAATAATAATTGTGGTGCCTTTTCCCCGAAATATCAATCTTTCAAACTGTAATAAAGCCTTTCCTGTAATTGGAAAAAAAAATTTGTTGTTGAAAGTAATAGTGGTTATTGCTTGGGTTTTGAGAGTGTACCTTTGTAAGTACTTGTAAGAAACTCATGTGGAGTAGGAAATAATGTCTGCCTGTGTAACTTTCAGGAATTTGTGAATGGTTTCTCCATTTATATATGCTTATCTGTAAGCCTGTATATTCCTTATTTTGTCATACATGTATAGAAAATTGCATGACTTAGGCTTCATTTAGGTTGACTCACATAATGCTTAGAATGCTTACAAAGGGAGGAAGTCAGTTTAAAAAATCTTTTTCACTAAAAATATATCCAAACTGATTAATTTTATTGAAGGTTTTTTTCAGTAATTGATAAAAATGTAATGACAACAATTTGAGTATCATAAAATACTGAATTATCATGACTTCTTAGAATTGCTTATATTAAACATATTTTTGGAAGAACATTGGGTAGGAGATAGAAAAGCAAGTGCCCCTAAAATGCAGATTAAAATTATAGGTTAATTCCTAAGAAAAAATTATGTAAGACTGTTGAAGGGAAAAACGACCCACTGTGGCTCTCAAAGTACTTATGTATCATCTCTAAATCCTCTAAGGAAGCACCTTTTCTTGAACCTGGCAAGAGAGTTGAAATCCATTTTGTGATACTATTTTGTGTAAGACAAGGACAGGTCTCCTCCCTAGCCCAGCAGGGTTTGACTTCATTAGTATGGTGCTTTGGGTGAGGACCTCTTTCCTGGCTATCCTCCTTTCCTGTGAACAGGTAAAAATCCTGGAGTCTCCACTCTTGAGTTGCCTTTAAAGGATAAAGCAGGGATCACCTATCAGTGGGTCCGTTTTTCTTTTAAAATTAGCTATCCAAAAAAACTAACAGTGGTATTTGCAGTCTTTTAAGATAAATCTTTCAGTTGGTACCAATTGCGGAAAATCTGGTCAACATTCTCAAGCTTCTCTACAACAAATTGCCTTTGTCTAGATTTTTCAACTCCAGTTTATAAGCTTACTAGTTTTCAAAGAGGAATGTAAAATTTTTTCTAAGGCAAATGGAATGGCAGGAACTGTAGTATAAGTGATTACTGTTATTCTTGGGTGAAAGATATAATTTACAACATTTTAGGGATATTCCAGGGATGTACCAGGTAGCCTGCTGGGTTTCAACTGCCCAGGCACTACTGTTGTCTCACGTAATTATATACTCCTTGTCACAGGAGAGATGATGCAAATGTGTGATTATAGTGCCACCAGATTTCTATTAAAACCAAGTTAGTAATAAAAAAACCTAACATAGATAAACCATTTTGTTTTCTCATCTTAGAAGGATACAGAGATTCCTAAAAACTATGTGGCATCAGTGCCAACTTAGCTGGAATCTGAATTCTGAGGAAAACTCTAAAGATCTTATAAATGTTTAGGGAATTAAATTTTTCAAATCATAATTTGGAAATGATATGTACCTTTTTCTGATAATTGTCAGAGCAATTCAGGAAATAATTTTCTATCATTTTAGTTGAAAGACCATTGTAAATACAATTGGGATACTTGTTTTAATTCTAAAGTAAACATCTGCAATATACCTTTTGTAGATAATGGAACCTGTTTAGTTCAGAGATTCTTTGCGGTAGATGAGATAATGTATGAGAAAAGTGTTTTGTAAATGCTGAGGATTATACAAATGACACTTGTTATTTTTATGTGTATTTGTAAGATCATGCCCATCCATAAATACAGACACTTCACACACAAACCTTCTCAAGATCACTTGTATTGTAGTACTTTTGTCTATTGTAAAAGTATTAAGTATTTACTTGTATTTCTTTATACATTTATTTTTAATATCCATGTGTTTATTGTACTAAATTTGAAATGAAATCCTATAAAACAATTTGTTTAAACATAGACCTCATGCCAATATTGTTTAATTTTTTTCTACATAATTTAAAACTACATAAATTAAGTAAGCCACCAAAAACTTAGCTTGAATCCTATGAAATTAACAATTTTTGAAATTACTCAACTGATATTTTAATACCCCTTAACTATTTATCTTCCTTTACTGATTGTTGATAAGTAATGGTGTTAGCGTTGATAAAAGAATTTTAGGGTATAATTAGTATACCAAAAGGGATTCATCAACCAAATTGTGTCAGATTATATTCATACTGTCATCACATAGTTGACAGATTTCCTTTTGATAGGAGATGCTCATATAAGCCTTTGGGTTAGTATGTATGTATATACATGTATAGATAGATAGTATGGTCATGTACACACATATATACAAACACCAAGAATTTGATCAGTTTGTGATGATCGGAAAACACATAAAGTAAGAATTGGTTGACTTAATTAAATTCATTTCCGGAAAATTTTTTTTTATTTGGACATTTCTATAATACTCTTTTACATTTGAAAGTACATGATGGGGGGCACCTGGCTGGCTCAGCCAGTAGAGCATGCGACTCTTGATCTTGGGGTCATGAGTTTGAGCCCCACATTGGGTATAGTGATTTCTTAAAAAAAGTTTGAAAGTACATGAGTATTAGTATAATGAGTTGTATACAGTCAGAATCTATGTAATACATAAATTTTCACGAGATCAGAAAACAAATTGGAGGTAGAGACAAGTTTGCTAAACCCATCTGTGATACCTCGGTGGGAAAAGGAATTCAAGTGTATGTTTTGTGGATTAACAGGAAAGTATAGTTGTTTTTTGTTCATGAACGTGTATTTTCCTATTGATGAATGAGTTATAAAGTGGTCTGATTTTTACAACAGTAGACCTTCGTTTTCAAATTTAATCTTCCCACTGACTACTGCACAGGTATGAAATAGTAGCTTATTGAATCTTCAGTAACCTTTTGTTTCCCTAGATGACTGAAATATATTTACTCCATTTAAACCAGGTGGTAAGAAAAAAATGGTGTAAATACTCAGGGAGGGTATTCACTTGTCATTTTTGCCTATTTGGGGTGTTTAAAGTGCCATAACTCTATAAACTTCAGTTCATGATCCTAGAGTAAATTTAATTTGGTAAATGGGCTTCACACAGGCAGTGGTTGAACATTCATTCTTTTATATTTAGAAAGATGAAAATGTTTTGTGGACTGATACATTTTCTCTTAGTGAATACGAATTGTTTATGTCTCTCTACTGTCATATACCCTTTTGAAACTCAGGAAAGACAAAGGTTCAGTTATACTACTTTTGTCAATACGCAAACCAGGTGTGTATTGTTTTTTTTTTTTTCCTGTTGTCTGGATATGGCAATAGATTTTTTTAAAAAAAGAATTGCTGTGAGAACCCAAACATGAAAAGAGAGGGTTTGAATTGTTGTGTGTGCCTTTCGTGTCTTGAGATTTATATGTGGAAAAGACATCTCCAGAGTGTATTTTCAAAGAGAAGAGATAGCTATTTATATGGTGCCAAGTGATAAGATAATGTCTCTTAAAGGTTTCCTATGGAAGCCTTTATTTTACTAAACTCAAGACACCAGTGAACCTCAACATAATTTTGGCCTTATTAGAATTTCTTGTGCATTATATTGAAAGCCAGGTTTACATCACCTCACCCCATTATTCTTTTTAGTTAAATAAACAAATTCGCCATATCAGGTAACCAGAATGGGGGCAATTTGGTTGGCCTTTAAGTAGGTTTGACTAGGTAGCTCTACTTACTGTCACATCTAATGCTAGACATCAGAAACCACTTGAGCCAGAGTGTGAACTGATAATTCCAGAGACATTTTCAACTTACTTCAGACATTTTTTAATGTTTTTTATGAATGTGTTACATTTGTGTGATTGCCTTAGATATTAAATTTACTTAGTGCTAAAGATGATCATAATTTTTTTAAAACAGCAGTAGTCATAACTTATTTTATATATTGTTCCAAAGAAAAAGAATTTAATGTTTTCAAAATAACTGCATCTGAATTTATGTGCCTTAAGTTCTGTAGTGCTATTTCAACTTTTTTTCATACTAAGTGACGCTTACCTTAGATGAGTTTCATATTTGTTTCCTACCGAGTAAGTAAACTCCCCTTCTTAAATTTTTTAATAAGCACCATGTGGTTGCTTGGCAGAATGAGAATATTAAGAAATGTTGTTGAGTGTTTGGAGTTTTATTATATTTGAGGGTTTTGTTTGTTTTTGTTACCAAGGTGCTTTTTAAGATATTCAGACAAACATCTAACATTGATTAAACGTTTGAAAACATCATTTGCAATATCTACATCTAATGTCAGAAAAGTAAATGTACTTATTTTTGTTCCATCCTTATGTATTATTTTTTTCCTTCTATAGTCTTTTATATTTCCTGAAAAAGTTCTTACTCTTGCTTTCCCCATCATCCCTCCCCACCCCCAGTTTCTTTATTTAAATTATTGAGAATTTCTGGAGGTAGGACAACAATTATAGAGTTGAAAAAGAGCATAATATGCTTTACAACTTGTATAGACCTATGGCAGCCAAATGTCACTTGCTTTCCGTGAGAGGCTCCAAGAATCTTCACAGTGAAAAAAAATGCTTTGTCATTTGTTCTCAATTTGGTTGTAGCACAGTAATACTTATATGTCTTGTTTAGATATACTTTGTGCATAGTTTAATTTTTTTAAAGTTGTATCTAATAAAATGTCCTTTAACCATTATTATTTGACTATACAGTTGTATTAAATTTTGTTTACCAAAAACTTGTTGCTTTGTTTTATTTTAAATACATCCAAATGAGGGGTGCCTGGGTGGCTCAGTCGTTGGGTGTCTGCCTTTGGCTCGGGTCATGATCTTGGGATGGAGCCCCACATCGGGCTCCCTGCTCAGGGGGAAGCCTGCTTCTCCCTCTCCTACTCCCCCTGCTTGTGTCCCCCCTCTGTCTCTCTCTCTCTGTCAAATAAATACATAACATAAATACGTCCAAATGGTTGTGCAAAAAAAAGGGATGGAGGAAAATTCATATTAATATATGTGCATATTTACTGATATGTCCATAAAGTAACTAGAAGAATAAATAAACTAAAACATTGGTGTATATCAAGAAATACGGTGGCTGAGGAGCAAGTAAAAAGGAAACACCACTGCATACTCATATAATTGTATGTAATTATAAATATGCATATAATCAATGTTTTAGTCTGAACCACATGGAAGTGTTACCTATCCACAAAAAAAAATTTTAATTACCAGAAAGTTACCCATAACGTGTACTCTAGTGTTCTTTGATTTGACTCTCAAAAGTACCCCTGTAGTGATATTAAGAGTAAAGGACTTAAGAAATTTTCTTTCAGATGTCAAAGAGAGGGTATATTATTTACAGGAGGGGCAATGTCTGATTTTACATTAACAAAAGTAAAATTTTGAAAAGATACAAATACGTTATAGAAGCATGTGCAATGCTTAGCTTTTTATGCTTAGTTTTTAAATTGTGCCATAAAAATGGCAAGTTAGAGTGCTTCTTAAATAATAAATGTTAACAATTTTTCCTTTGACTCAATTCCTTTGTAGCCACACCTGGGAAGTGCATGGGCTTCATCAGAACTGATTCCAACCAGTGCTCTACCATAAAGCCATTTAACCCCTGAACCCTACTTTCCTTATTCTAGGAAAGGTCATGATCCCCACTTCACAGGCTTGTTGTAAGGAGATGAGCTAAGGGGACGTGTGTTAAAGGGTGAATAGTTCTGGCACAGAAGAGGAGAACATAAATGTTGACTCCTTGTCCATGCAGCTAGTTTAGGACAAAAATGCAATACGTGAAAGTAGGGAAGGAGTTGAAAAAATAAAAAGTATTTGTTAGCTTAAAATTGGAAAACCATGGACAATGGGTAAAGAATTTCAATTTTATCTTTAAAAAATCACCTGTACTCTTGAGGCAGCTGACTGGCTCACTTGGTAGAGCATGTGACTCTTGATCTCAGGGTTGTTGAGTCCAAGCCCCAAGTTAAACATAAAGAGCTTACTTTATTTTCTTTTTTTAAGATTTTATTTATTTGAGACAGCGCAAGCAGGGGGCGGTGGTGGGGGCAGAGAGGGAGAAGCAGCCTCCCCTGCTAAGCAGGGAGCATGACTCAGGGCTCAATCCCAGGACCCTGGGATCATGACCTGAGCTGAAGGCAGACGCTTAACCGACTGAGCCACTCAGGTGACCCAGGTAGAGCTTACTTTAAGGAAAAAAATCATCTGCACTCTTAATAGAATGAGGAAAAAAATGGGCTAAACCTGCCTTCTGCTTCTCTGATATTAACCATTAATGGAGATTTAGAAAATCAAAAGGCATGGTTTTCCTCCTAATTTTGTTGAGGCCTTTATTTTTTGTTTATATTATATAACGTTTTGACATATTGGGGGAACTTTGCTGGGAGAAACTGCCCTTCCTAAAACTAGCTAATTCCTGGAAACAGTAACCAACTTGTCAGTGAGCCGACCTTTCATATATAAACCAAACAATCTTTTGTCCATACCCCAGCCACCTCCTTTAACTCTCACACACCAAGCCAATATTTTCCCCACCCTGAATCACTCCAGGGCCAGGTACCAGACAACTATGAACAGCTCCTCTGTCCCGAAGCCTGCCAGCATTATTAAAACTAGCCAGTCTTAAACTGTATACCCTGTCCTGCCTTGATTTCCTCATGGAAACGCCAATAAAAGCTCTAGCATATGCTCTCCCCTCATTTCTTTTTTCTTTTTTAAGATTTTATTTATTTATTTGAGAGAGAGAGAGCGCATGAGAGGGGGGGAGGGTCAGAGGGAGAAGCAGACTCCCCACTGAGCAGGGAACCCGATGTGGGACTCGATCCCGGGACTCCAGGATCATGACCTGAGCCGAAGGCAGTCGCTTAACCAACTGAGCCACCCAGGCGCCCCCTCCTCTCATTTCTTTTTGCCTCCTGACAATGGTGCTTTCTCTGTGGCCCTGCATGACATGGAGGAACTATGAGTAACATTAAACTTTTATCTCAATGGCACTGACCTCTTTGTATTGTCACTCAGTCACCTTTATAAATTAAGACTCACAAAGCACAGAGGGACTTAATGTTTTAGTGGGTAAAAAAGCACCAATTCTGTTTTTTATGGCAATACAAGAGCCTGTTCAGAATAGACCTTAAAACAGGATTTTTGAGTCATAGTTTGATAAACATAATAATCAGTCCATATGTACTGCAACCAAAGCACTAAAGAGGAATCAGTCCAAAGGAGTCCAGGCTTTGAGTGCTGATACCCTTTTATTTAGAGAAAGTACAATAAAGCGAGGCATCTTGTCCAAATGGAAGAAGAAAAGGAGATTTTAAAAGATCACATTTAGGGGTGCCTGGGTGGTACAGTTGGTTAAGCCTCAACTTGGTTTCAGCTCAGGTCATGATCTCATGGATCATGGGATCGAGCCCCAAGTCAGGCTCCGCCGTCAGATTCTCTCCCTCTGCCCCTCCTCCCAGTCTCGCACACACTCTCTCTCTCAAAGGAAGGAAGGAAGGAAAAGGAAGGAAGAAAGATCAAATTTATTTGTTCACACACACTCTCCATCCTACTGGGATTTGGTGGATGATACCAAAGATGGTAGGGCTTTATAGGAATTCAGTGTCCACATGTGTACAACAGAAGAGGTAAAGCAAAAGAGAAAGCAAAAGCAACCCTCAGAAAGCTTTCTAGTATGGTATGGCAGCCATGGAAATGGGCCTGGCCAGCCGCCAACTACAGGGAGCATAACTGACCAAATAATGCCCCAGCTGCTGGCTTTGAAACCCATCTTGCATTTGCACTGAGGCCACGCATCCCACCAGCTGCTCCCAGCCAATGTCATGTGGCAGGGCTACTTAAGGCACATGTGTTCCCGAAAGATAGGTCTCCTTTTCGTTTCTTTTCTCTCCTTCTCCTTCTTTTCCTTCTTCTTCTTTTTCTCCTTCTCCTTCTCCTTCTTCTTTTTTTTAAAGAGGGATGGGGGTGATGGGCAGATGGAGAGAGAGAATCTTACGCAGGTTCCCTACTCAGCACGGAGCCCGACACGGGTCTTGATCTCACAACCCTGAGATCATGACCTGAGCGGAAATCAAGAGTCCAACACCTAACCAACTGAGCCACCCAGGTGCCCCGAGACAGGTCTCTCCTGATGGTGAATTTTGGCTCCATGCCTCCCATTCTACTTTGTCCAGCCCTCATTAGATTACATGGTAATGCAGGATGTTTCTACCCAACCTTCTTTCCCTCTTCCCTTCACTTGCTTTTAGCATCTAACGGCTCTCTCCCCATGTTTTCCCTCACAGAGCATTTCCTTGCATGTTTTCATTAAAATCTTTGCATATTTGATCTCATCTTCTCAGAGGACACAGGACTGATTTATGTAGAAAAAAGTCCCTGGGGAATCATTGCCCTAATGATAAAGTTAGCACTGTGGAACCACCCGCTAATCCTGGTTTTCTGAAAAGTCCTAGTTGTTACATTTAGACTAGGCTCGGTAGCAACGTAATGTGAAAATAGGTTTTATTTTATTTTTTTTTTAAAGATTTTGTTTGTTTGACAGAGAGAGAGACAGCGAGAGAGGGAACACAAGCAGGGGGAGTGGGAGAGGGAGAAGCAGGCTTCCCGCCCAGCAAGGAGCCCGATGCGGGACTCGATTCCAGGACCCTGAGATCATGACCCGAGCCGAAGGCAGACGCTTAACGACTGAGCCACCCAGGCGCCCCGTGAAAATAGGTTTTAAAATCATCTGTTTATAGGCACCTGGGTGGCTCACTCGTTAAGCGTCTGCCTTTGGCTCGGGTCATGATCCTGGGGTCCTGGAATCGAGCCCCGCATCAGGCTCCCTGCTCGGCGGGGAGCCTACTTCTCCCTCTCCCTCTGCTGCTTCCCCTGCTTGTGCTCTCTCTCACTCACTCTCTCTCAAATAAGTAAATAAAAAATATTAAAAAAAATAAAGTACTGTTTACAAATGCCAGCTTTAACATTTACTACCTATATGTCTTTGGGTAAGATATTTAACCTTTCTGAGTTTCAGTTTCCCCCCTTCCCACTTAGGCTTGGTTTGAGGATTAAATTAGAACGTAAAAGCACTCAGCACTGTACATGACAATGGTGCTTCATCAGGAATGGTAGTAATTAATAGCTTACAGATTTCATTCATTTATTTATTCATTTATTTGGCAAACGCTGGAGTCCTTGATGAGGATCAGGCAGAATATTTCCTACCAGCATTGTGTTAATGAATGTTACAGTCCCTGTTCTTAAGGTTTACAGATTGATAAGGGAAGCGGACATGTGAACAGATAAATTCTATGTAGTGTGATAGAGGAAGTTATAGGCATTCCAGTTACTGAGAACTGTGTAAATAGGAATAAAGAATCATCAATTTTCAGAGTAAAGAGATTTTATGGTCTCTTCTTTCCGATTGTGCCAAACACTGAACAAGGTGCCATGGGATTAATACATCAAATGAGATAGACCCTGTCCTCCAGAAGCTTTCTGTCAAGTGAGGAACTGCATAGCAATTAGGGAAGGACCGCTTGCTAAGACAAGGAAACATTGCACTAATGCCCTGGGTTTCTTTGGTTGTGGTTTTCTGGGGGGTTTTTTGGTTTTTAAGTAGGCTCCACACCCAATATGGGGCTTAAACTCATAACCCTGAGATCAAGAGTTGCATGCTCTACTGAATGAGCAAGCC